CTGCGCCACATTTTCAAAACATCTGTTTCCTATCTTTGTCATGATTTTGCCCTGCATTTTGGTGATGAGACAGTAACATATACTTAGTTCTCTGTGTTTACTTCTAGTCCAACCTCTTTACTTGCGTCAATTAAAGTTTGTGTGTTTTTCTTTATGGTATCTGTATTATCACCCAGTAGATTCACATCATCGGCATAGACCAACAGCTGATGTGTCCCATTTACTTTCAGTCCCACCTGGTTTCCCTGGACCTTCCTAATTGCATATTCTAAGGCAAAGTTGAAAAGGAGTGGTGATAAAGCATCTCCTTGTTTTAGACCATTCTGGATAGGAAATTTATCAGACAAATGTTTACCTACACGGACTTTACTATACATTTCGTTTAAACACATTTTAATCAACCTAACTAGTTTCATGGGTATCCCAAACTCTATCAGAATACTGTACAATACTTCCCTCCTAACTGAATAATAGGCTTTCTTGAAGTCTTATGAATAGCTGATGTACTGTCTCATCGTACTCCCATTTTTCTCCAATATCTGATGAATGCAAAAGATCTGATCTGTAGTTGATCTGTTACGTTGAAACCCAGACTGATGATATCCAATAATAACTCTTACCTTAATAATATAAATAAACAAAAAATTATTTGACAGTCTTTAACTTACCCATGCTTCAATTGCCACAAATACTTGATTATCTTCTAGGTTTTCAAAGTTTAAACATAGTCTGTACAACATAATTATACAATACAACTTAGAAGACTGCTTAGTTAGAAAGACGGTAATTGCTCATACAATAGTTTAACCTTCTCAGGATTACAAACATATCCACCCTGACACTGATCAGTCTTATCCCTTATTTATTGGATGATTATAAATGACCATGAACATTATTTATAATTTATTCTTGGTTATTTTTAATTTCAATAATCTTATATTTCGATATTACTGGAACTTTACTGTGATCTACAATATCATATTTCATTGTCTGGGACATGCAATATGGTGTTTATGTTCAAATTTCTAGATTCTGGAATGGCCAAGGCATCTCAAGTTCTCACATTTATGAGCAGTCATTAATTTAGCTCGGGTACAGGAAACCGGACGCGCCTACAAAAGTCAGTGAAAAGGACAGGTCAGAACTCGTTACAATTGCCTGTGAATGAGGGCCATTATGACTGAGTTGCCTCGCTCAAACTTCCCTATGGGAGATGGAATGACATGTATATGTCCACACCATGGAGAATTTGAATTTCTCGAATTCCCAGCATGAGGTGTGCAAGCCATTCCACAAGAAGTCTTTCACCATTTTCTGAAGTGTACGGACATGACCCTTGCATGCTCCATGACATAGTTTGCAGATCAAGTAATATATTGTAACTGTAAGCATTAACATACAATAAATTAAATAAGTGAATAAACATCAAGTTGGATCAACTCCCAGAATATCACTTAATTCAGCATCGCTACCCTGAGTCTCATGCTAACCGACCCAGCTAGTTTCCCGTACCTATACCGACCTTCCTTAGTTTGATCTGTGAGGACAACTTGCAGTGATCATCATACACTATCCTAAGGTAGAAATAGGTGTAGCAGGGATAGCACCATTCCGACTAAGCTAATATAACAAAGGTGGGTTGGAAAAGAGCGGTGTTATTGCAAATACTGATGTTTTCATAATTGGAGCATATCTTCTTTGTTACAAGATTTTCCTAGTAGCTTCTGCCATCACTGGTGATCCTGCTGATTTTTTCTGCTAGATAATGTCATTTATTTCTTACAGCCATGCATTTTCTACTGTTGGCTAGATACTCCAGACTCAGAAACACCCAGTCATCAAGTTTAATTATGCACTTAAGATTATGATAATGCTTCTTTCCAACATATCAGATCTAGAGTTAATTAAATTTAGAAGTTGGAAATGATTTAATTTTAATTAGTTTACTAAGTATGTCTAGTTTCAGGGAATTTTAGTTCCACTGCCTGTCCAAAATAGAAGCCTTCCACATGCTAACGTACTTTTGCACACCTGGGATTTCTTAATGTCCTCTCCACTTGTACTCTGATGCAGCTTGCTATTTTTTCTAGGCATGATCAACATATGAACTTGCAGAATTAGACATAATTAACTAAAATGACTTTGTTACATAGCCAATGTGGCAGCAGGCTCCGTAGTCTAGGGGTAATGTTCCCACCTCATGACTCAAGTTACGCGGGTTCAAACCTGGCGGAGGTTGTGGAATTTTTAAGGGCGGAAAAATTCAAGGAACAAGTCCTCCGGGAGGGACTTTGAACCGTGGGTCCCGTGTCATAGATTTACGGCACGTAAAAGATTCTCGTGTCTCTAGGAGACCTCTGAGCAAAATTAGGCAAAAAGTTTCCCACCCAAGTAGTTTCCAATGCCTCCGGTAGATGGGGACGTTATCGGGTACCAATGCCAGTAGAGGGCTGACCTCGCTGGCAGAAAGGGGAGAATTATAGGGTACCACTGCCAATAGAGGGCCGACCTCACTGGCAGAAAGGGGAGATAGCGGGCACCAGTATCGGTAGGGTATGGCGACAGCAGAAAATAAAGGTGGACATACAATAGAATAAAGGGGGACATACATGGGGAAACCCACCCCCTCTACACTCAATAACTGAATATAGCCAATGTGGCACTCAGTGTAGCTCAGTAAGCTGCAGCTACATACATTTGAATCAAACTGTAAATCAGAGCAAATAATAAGCAAGATGATAGACCTGCAAGTAATGGATCAAGTTATACAAACAAAACAAATTAAACGTTTCTAGATCCCTCCCTTAAAAAGATAAAGCTCATCCAAATAAAACTCTGAAAGCCAGTTCTTATCTCCACAAGAACACATTTCTATTACACAGATCTCGGTTAATGATGTTTAGGTACATCATCGGTTCCTTCTGAAAACCAAATGAGCCCCAAAAATAAACTGTGGATGAAATGTGGTGTTATTTAACGTAAGAGGTACTACTGGCCTCTAATTGGTTAATGAGAGGCACAGTATGCTTTATGCTGCTGTAATTTACTGAGTAAAATTCTGTCTGCTCCAGAAAGTAGTCCCCTCTATATAATACTTGTTCCTATTTTCAAAACTCTAATTTTATAAAACTAAAGTAAAGTTAAACTTATGTCTAAGCATCATGAATGAATGTACAAAGGTATAAGGAGGTAAAGCTCGCCACATTCTCAGGGCTTTACATTAGAAGGCATATGGTAAGCTTATCCTTGTCACCTAAATAGCTACCATTCTCTTCTGGACAAGAAGCATGGTAGGTCCCAGAGCTGTTTTGAATGTTACGGTGAAGAGAAAAAAAACTACCACTCCTTTTTTTTTATGTGTTTCATTCTGTTCTGCCACACTAACAATTACAAAGATAAAAACAACTCCGTTCAGTATGACTATTTAAGTTTTTCCACTTGAAAACTCAGCACCCTTCCATGTTTCGATCCTTACAGATCATCTTCAGAGGGAACATCAATACTTATTCGGAAACCGCTATCAAAATAGGTGTTCTGAGTGCTAAATAACATACACACATAATATACACAATATTCAACTTTTTACAATCACAGCAGCCTTCCTAGTATTAAAACTTTTAAAGTTTTTTAAAAACTTTGTTAAGTTAAAATTTATAAACCATGCAGGTTTGTGTCACTTCTCCTATCGTCTTTCTTGGAGGGGGCTGAACTTGTACCCCCTGTCTATCTTGAGAAGGAAATTCTTAGTATCGTCCATGTTTGTTTGGCTTGCTGTGTTGTTTTCACTGTTCACAGTGTTATCTTCATATTCATCTTATGAATCAAAGCCTGGATCACTTTACTGTCAGTTCTACAACTACATGGAACATTTTTCAATGGTCAGTAAAAATCTGGAAGTGAACATGGAAATTCTCTGCTTCTGAAGCTTTCAACACATGCACAGCTTTATTCTACTAGTTACAGATCCTTGCATAAAAATAGTCAAAACATAATTTTATGCCATTCTATGACTAGAATTACATTATTCTACAACATCCTATTTAATCATAATATCATGAGGTCTTTTATTAAAGTGAATAAATTGAATGTGTAGTACAAATCCATTCAGTGTCCCACATTTCAACCCATGAACCAATGGATAGATTTTGATGAAATTTTATATGACACATTCTTACAATGAGCTATGCAGCCACTTTGATTTTCATAAAGATTGGCATCACAGAAGTATACTTTCATGCCAGAGTAAATGTGTACTGGCACAGCATTATGCCTATTCAAAAAATGTCTCAAATGAAAATTGCTTCTCTAATTGAGAAAACTGCTAGACAAATTCTGAATGAATTTGATACTGGACATCCAAATAAAGAGTTACATTCTTACACAACCAGGGACTGTATACTCCAGTACTGATTTTCAAACTCATGTTCATATAGAAATGATCATATCTTGGCTGCACGGTCTAAGGCATACACCATTTTCGCCCTCTTGAACACTGGGGTTGCGGACTCAAATCCCACTCAAGGCATGGATGTCTGTATGAGTTGTTACTTTTTGTGTTGTTCTGTGTCTAGGTAGTGGCCTTGCAATGGGCTTATCCCCATCCAAGGAGTCCTACCAACTGTGTATATGAACTAAGAAACTGAAAAAGCAGCCAAGGTCCAAAGGGCAGTAGAGCTATAGAGAAAGAAAGAAAGAAATTATCATATCTTATGATATGTAACAGTGAAATTTATGAGATAGGTTTCACAGAGAAAGAGGGGTCACAAGAACGAACAGCGGGAAACTGCAGAAATAAGGAAAGAAAATGAAAACATCAGGGGGCAGGAAAGTTAAGAATAAAATTATATATTGAATTTCAACAGTAGCTAACAACAGCAAAAGAAGCAAAGGGTCAAACCATCTTCAGGGTTTGAGACCCCTTCTGCTTCTAATATAATCCCCCATTTTTGTAAGCCACTTTCTTTGCTTGTTCCCTGCTTCATGCTAGTNGTAAGAAGTTGTTAGCCATGATGAAGCTAGGCTGAATGTTGATGTAACGTGTAAAGTGCAGACATGCTTTGTTTCTATTACAGAGAAGCAGTGCTTCTCCTCTTGTTTATTAATAATAAACCGTAAGGACATGTTAATAACTGAAGTGTAGTGTTTTTACTATAACAGTAGCTATACTAGCATAGGTTTTCCAATGACTGAGGTTAGTTCTTTCTAAGGGACCCTTCACTTGAGGATGGAAACAGTTCCAGTTTCTGAAACCTTGGGTTCCTAGTTTTTTGGGATACCAGATGATGAAGAAAATCCAAAACCCCAGTAATTCCAAATTAAAGCAACATGTAACTCCAGAAGATCAGCTGCCTTTCAAGACTGCATGGTGTTATATCCCAGAAAACAGAACTCTTCATAACCAATTCTCTGCAAACTTCATATCATATTCACATAAAAATCTTCAAGAAAAGGTCTTTAAGCCTGAATATACACTAGCTTTAGGTTGTAATAAAATGTGAGAGAGATCATGTTGACTTGCGAGATGAAACACATGAGAATCGTGAGGTATAAAATATTTGAGGCTGTATTTGATAGTAACAAAACCAACTGTTTGGACCTAAAAGGCATTAAGGAGGCTGGAGATATATACACAATAAGCAGCCTCATAATCTGGGCATTTAACCACGTATTATTTATCTTGATGAAGTAAAGGACAAGATGGGCCAGGCACACGAGAGATATGAAATGCAAACACAATTTTTCAGAAAAACCTGAAGCGAAAAGATAATTTAGGAGACACAGGTGTAGATGAGATGATAATATTGAAAGGTATCTTACAGAAATACGATATAAGGATGTGAAACGTGTGAAATGAATTCATCTGGCTCAAAACATGAACCAAAGATGGATTCTTGTGAAGAGTAATGGGGAATCTGGTCCCATAAAAGGTACTAATTTCCAGACTACCCGAGAAACTATTCAGTTCTCAAGAAGTAATGCATTCCATGGTGTTAGTCACAATAAAAGTAATATCTTCCTATTACAGCTCATATGCTATATATTTCCATACATTTAAAAAAATGCAAGACCAACTGTAATTCTCAGATTTTCACTTTCTACCTCAATTACCTCTTCTAAACAGAGTCAAAACTTTTACATCCATTAGATTTGTATCAGTGGTTCGACTGCAAGCAGGTTCACAGGTCTGCCATCAATGGAACTCAAAATAGACCAAGCACAGCTATAACGGAGCTGGTGTAGGAACGCTCATGAGTGGGGAATCTAGATGGTCCATATTTGCTGGGACATGGGGTACGTCTTGTTGGCTCCCAATTCTTTCTTGCAGGGAATCATAGAGCCTGTGTACTGCTTCATTATGCTGAAAGAAAAGAAAGGAAACCAATCAGATTTTCTGGAGAGCAATATAATCAGAAACATTAATTACATTGTGTCATTTGAGGCTGTCACAGCAGTGCCTATGAACATAACTGTCTTCTAGGACACCGCACAATGTTGTCTGGCAAAAGTTTACAAAGATTTTGGACAAACATCAGTAAAATTCTACCAAACTACATGGTGTCACATCCCAGAAAGAGTTATCTTGAACCACACTACTAATTACATACTTCAGATGTGCAAAGAGCAAAACTGTTAAAACTTTATCACAAAAACAAGCACACTAAAATACAGTTCAACATCTCATGGCACACTAAACTATGTAATGTTTTATTATGAGAGGGTGACTGTGGAACAATTGGTGGAATGAAGATTGGCAGGGTAAACCAAAGTGCTCGGGGAAAACCTGCTCCAGCGCCACTTTGTCCACCACAAATCCCACTTGACCAGACTCGGGATCGAACCCGGGCCGCCACAATGGGAAGTCAGCGACTAACTGCTTGAGCTATGGCGTGACCTGGACTGAGCTAAGTCAGACAAGTGTTATGTATTTCAATTTCTTTTCATAAAACTTGAGCTGATAAACAACATGATACAGTCCGTTTCAAAATGTGACTGTGTACTAGCCTTGCACTTAAGTTGTGGTCTATACATACCTGGCTGGGCTGCATTATCACACTACATCCTGTAGCAGTTTTACCGTAAGAGTTTATTCCTAATATCAGACATGCTACATCAAATTTGTTTCTTTCATTTTTACCTGACTGGTTGGTTGCAAAGCCTTAACAAGTGTCTGAAGCCGGACCGCTGGAAGTTTTGGGTAAATATACCATAAGAGTTTTAGCAAGTGTTTAGGCACATTATCACGGGCCAAACCCGCAAAGAAGAACTCATCAAATATTACAGTACAAAAGTCTTCTGCTGAAAACTCATCATTCATGTGTATTAGCAGAGAGACCTGTAAAAATAGGGGAAAAAAAATGTCAGACTATTACATTCTCTTACAAAAATTTTTGTTTTGCGAAACACAACCCCTGGTTCCAGAAAAAAATATGAAAATATGTGTGCATTAAATACGCTCTGAAAGCCTAGATGCGCTTGAGTTTATATGTAACCTTAATAACACAAGCTAAAACAGATATTCTCACAGTAAGCATATTCCTTTGTAATCAGCTACTCTTTTCCCTCCCAAACATCTTTCTCTTATTCATTGGCTGGGCCAAACTATTGTAGAGTTGAGAAACTTCGTCTCTATGGTGGAAAACAATGGCACCATTTCTGGCGAACCAACAATGTCATTTGAAATAAAACAGTTCTGAAGAATAAACTGAGAGCATTACTTAACCCCAAATGTGTACTTACCAATGAGTGAAGAAATGGATCTTCGAATGCTCTGTCATTTTTGCAGTTTGCCAATGTGCCCAAAACTCTCATGAGTCCAACACGATCTTTCTGCCTAGCCGTATGTAATGTGTAGTACATGGCAAGTATACTGGCCACACTGCTTTCTTGAACATATGCCTGACATGCATCTGGAGGTGGACCTGAAGTGCAAGCATTCTGTTCTAACTATAGGAATGCTGAAAGTAAAATCATCTTGCTTCGTTGTCTTTGTGTTCATACGCATGAATGTATGTTGGGGCAACATTTAACTTTCCCAATTTGCTGTAGCAATTCTGTTCACCATAAAATACTAAGCGAGTAATGTAAGACAATTTTCTACTTGCATGAAATTGACAGTATTTTTATTCCAAGAAGAGCCAAGCAGTCCATAAATACAACAAAGACTAGATAATAACATCCTGAAAACTGGGAAACAAAAGTAAGTTAGTAGATAAAACTTATTCTCAATTTACCTGAAGACAAGAAAGCATCTGATACACAAGATAATAAAAATAATCATTAGTGTCTATACCATACACTCAGATGGTGTTGATTATTTCTCAACATGCTTCACATAAATGTTACTCTACTGGTTCCCTGGTATCGTGTACAGCCATTGTTAGTCAACGGCTGTGGGATAAGCAAATATACCACGGCCGTTACTGGGTAATGGACGCAAACAAATGCCTCCACAACAACAAATCAACACGCAACAACATAGCAACTGTTGGAAATGGTGTTTTCTACAAGGGTCTGTGCCTCGACTAGGTAACTTTACAGAGAAAAAGTCCTGAGTGTTCAACAAGACCTCCAATATGGCAATTCTGGTCCCCAAGTGTTGAAAATAGGACCCAGCATCTTTCTGCTGATGATTTGGCCTCAAAAACGATTTCAAGCCAGTATATCTCTTCTTGGTATATCCAAGATTCCTTTGGTAGTAAATTTTCCTCTCCTACACAACTAGTCATTGCGCATACATTTTTACCTTACATGGTATTTCTTTGTATAATATACATTAATCGCAATATGAGTATGCCATTTTACCAGAATGTTCAATAATGGTGATTGCAGATTCTCTTTCATCTGGTGGCAATTTGCTATTCAGCATTCGAACCTGATCATCAACCATCAGAGACATGAGAGCTGGCAAAAACTTGGTAACTATTTGGCTATCCAACTTTGGTTCTCGAAATTCCTGCGAACACCAAAATGAAATAAAAATATTGTTAATTTTACAGCCTTGTGAATTTTAGAGACTGGTTCATATGCCCTTCAATCCAAGCCATGCAGCAAAAGAACATGAATGCAAATGCAAGAAACAGTACATGCTACAGCTTAAATTGTCAGTTCCTATTCTTAACTCACCCTAGTTCATAATTAAAAAGTGCTCATGACTCATTACATTATACTTTTCCCAGAGGTAAAACCACTATAAATAATAATATATTCATCATGACCACTGACTGCAGCAAATGAGCTAAATGATAAAATATAAATCACATAAACATTGGCAGAAATAAAAACATCATCATCATCATCATCATCAGTAATCTGTCAAGACGACAGGTCCACAGTCTCTTTCAAAACAATTCCTCCACTTAATGCGATCTAGAGCTTTCTCCTTCAAATGACAGTATCCTTTTCTGTCCCCAAGGTCATCCAGCATCTTCTTATGTCTTCTTCCTCGTCTTCTTGTCACTTCTATCCGCCCATCTATCTTTCCTTCGATAGCTTCTTTTAGAAGGCAGTTTCTGCGTAAAACATGACCAATCCAATTAGCCTTCCGTTTTCTTATTTCATGTAGGATATTCCTCTGCTCACTGACTCTAATTAACACTTCTTCATTTCTCACA